GACCTGAGGAGCTCCTTAAAAAAAAAAAAATATATTATATATATATATATATATATATACACGTATATACACGTATAATTAAAACTGCAGTACGTCTTGAGTATATAAAACAATTTTAGTGTCTTTTAAATATTTTTGATAAAATTTCACGAAAATTTTCAAGAACATGTATTTATTTTAAAATATGTTATTATAATAGACATATTGAGGATTAACATATACAAATTACAGCACTTTACGATAAAATTTACGACCTGAGGAGCTCCTTAAAAAATATATATTATTAAAACTGTCTTGAGTATATAAAACAATTATGGTGCTTTTTTATATTTTGCTAAAAATTCTAGACCTCGTATACTTACTTTATTATTTGTTATTATAGTAGACATATTAAAGAATACCATATACAAATTTCAATACTTTACAATAAAAGATACGATCTGAGGAGCTCCTTAAAATAGATATAATTAAAATTGCACTGCACCTTGAGTATATAAAACAATTTTGGTGTCTTTAGTATATTTTGCTAAAAATTTTAAGCATTTTTCAAGAACATATATTTATTTTAATATTTGTTATTATAATAGAAATATTAAAGAATTACATATGAAAATTTTAGCTTTGTTTTATAATTTTTATTGCTTGTAAAAATTTTTAAAAATATTGTATTTTTATATATGGGTGAGCACAGAATATTTTATTTACATCCTAATGTGAATCTAAAATTTATTAGTTTTAGTATTTATAATAATGATTATATAAACATATATATTTATTTTGTCATTATGAATAATAATAGTACCATACTAAAAATTATTTAGAACTTTTCTTTATCTAAATCCTATTAAATCCAAAAAACGCTGATTATTCTACTAATACTTAGAAATTTTGGCAAAAAGTCTCAAAACTAGCTTTTAATTCCTTCAAAAAATTTGAAATTTAGCCAAAGTATTCTAGATGGAAATTACAGAAATTTCATCCATATGTCTCACAAGATGAGTCATTTTATGAGTTATTTGAGTCGTTTTGTGAGCATCTGTTTCAAATCAGTCATGCCTTCCTCAACTTCTGCGAAAAATGATAAAGATGTTTGAAATGGTCAATTGCTTCTTAAAATGTAACTTTAAACCGATTTCTAAATTATTTTATGAAAGTACAGAACCGTAATATAACGAAAATTAAATTTTTAGTTATTTAATATAAAGTCGAGATAGAGTTTATATTATTTACTAGAACAATTTATCAAAGTCGAAGTCAAGGTTTCGATTTATCAGGAATGATACAATTATTTATTTATTGCACAGATTAATTTACATGAGCGACAAACAAGTTGATAGTATACATATATGCATATAAATTTATATAATTAATGCGTAAATAAATGATTTACATTTTTGCACATGCAAATACAAAGTTGTTGAAAATAGTATAAAAAATGACATTAATATTTTCTTGAGAAGTGCATAAGATTTTTAGATTCTACTAAGCAAAATATTTTTTATGGGCTCTTCAGGATGTACTAAAATGTTGTAATTTAGATGTGTTATACCTTAATATGTCTACTCTGAATAAAAATACTAAAATCTATAAGTATTCTTTAAAAATATTGAAGAAATTAATACAAATATCAATAAATACATCGATTTTTTATGATTCTTCTGTTGTTATTTTTGACGAGCTCTTCAGGAAGAATGGTTTGCCTTAGGATGTTGTAATTTGGATATGATATACCTTAATATGTCGACTACGATGACAAATACTGAAATCTGTAGGTTTTCTTTAAAAATATTTAAAACATTAATACAAACGTACACAAATGTATCAGATTTTTAAATTCTGATTCTTATTCTGATATTTGGCTCCTATTTCCTAGTTATTTTACTACCCCTGTTACAAATGCATTCGGCCCTTTGCCCTGCAAGTTGCATATGGTTTGCACATGTGTTTTTATGAATTCAAAAATTCCGTCCCTTTCCCTTTAAGGTCACAATTTACGACCCTCAGTTAGTGAATACAAGAAGGCATTTAGGAAACTGTAATAAAATTAACATAAAAATTATTCGGAATATTTAGTTCAAAAATTTGATTTTATTTCGGTTCAGTGATTTAATGTAATTTGTTTATGAGAAAAATGTTTATACTTGGAAAACCATAGATTTTTTTGAAAATTTTATTTAAGCAATTGTAGAGTATAAAATTCTACACAAATTTTGTGAACAGGCAAAATCTCTAAAATTATTATTTTAGACAGTATACAATGTCAAAGAGTACCCTATAACGCAAATCTAGGCTACAGAAAGTCCTTATTTAGATGTAATTTTAGCAGGACTTTTGAAATTAATAATTAGTATTGTGGTTGCAAAAGTATTAAATTATCATTTATTATAATTATAGACATATTTAAGTATAGATATTACAATTTACAACATTATTGTCTACTTATTACACCTTGTATGAAATTTAATAAGTCAAAACTAGTATTTTAATGCAACATGCTACTAAGATTTATCCCCGATAAAAGTTTGTTCAAAAAATTTTGTAATTTGTTAATTTTAATATTTTTTGCTGTTAGTAGATGCCTTAAAGTATAACATATAAAAATTTTAGCATTCTAGTGCAATTATCATAGCCTAGAAAAATTATCAAAGCCATGTTCGCAGTTTGACTCTTCAAAATTCTTAATATCTACCGCAACTTGTGGAATTAATATCACGGATTGTGTTTGAAAAATTATTAAAATTAATATTTATTAAAATTATAGATATATTGAGGTATAATATATACAAATTACAACATTCAAGTATAAATATTATGGTCCGTATGAAATTTATTCCAAAACTATAAACCACATAGACTCCTAATGACAAAATAAATCTTAAAAACCGCACTTTTTTGTTTGGACAAAATTTTAACAACATTCGACACCAAACTTTATAATTTTAACTATATATCATCTTACTAAATACATCAAAGTACATTATCCTCAATTTACTATCCTGAAGAGCTCATTATTTCTCTTCACAATTTAATTCCAAAACCACTTTTTTATTTATACATTTCGATACAATCAGTTAACTCAAAAAGCGTGCAGCGGTTTATATTTAACAATGCAATCCGGCTTTTTGTTAATACATATTTTGATATTTTGTATTTACCTTGGGGTAGTTTCAACCCCTGTAGAGTCATTAATCAAAAATTATCGATCTGGCACGAGCTACAATTTCAGAAATATAGGGGTGAAATTTTTACCGGCACCCTAGGCGAAAAAATAGAAAAAATGTAGGTAGATATATATATATTATATATATATATATATAAACATATATATATATATATATATATATATATAAATACATATATATGATTTTATATTTATGTATATATGTATAAACCTGCTCGTATTTTTTATGATCAGAATCCATTGTGTGGAACAATATGCTCGTTTATACCGATTTTTGTTATCATGTATACACTTTAGGATTTTTCTGAATAGTTCATATTATATTATTATATTTATGTAGCCTAATAAAAAAACCTTCATTTGTTTTCAAACAAATATTTATGTAACTTCAACAAATAATTCTAAAATTATTAATTAAAATAATAAACAATTTTCCCAAAATAATATTCAATATTTACAAAATTATTTTTAACTTTATATATTAGCATAATACATACGTTTAGCTCTTAAGTGTTCATAGTCGTTTATTTTCTATTCTATATAAGAAGTGCATTTCAAGTGCATCCTACGACCGAAGTGCACCCTTCAAAGATTTCTGTCTAAAAATAACCGAAGAGTCGGAGAGGTCTTAAAATAAAATGCCATATGCGGTTCGCAAATTATAATACACAGGATAATATATATATATTATATATATATATATATTATAATTATATTATAAAAACCAAACAATTATACCACAACAAATAACACATATCAACCCACGAACTATCTGACTAAGTCCAATAAAACTCTCAGCTAATTTAATATTATAAAATGTGTTTTTTTGCTGTAAAATTGTTGAGTGTTTTTTTTACCCCATAGACGGGGTAAATAGGGACGTTCAGAGATAAAAAAGGACGTCCACAAACTGGTCTTATGTCTTATTTATAATTTTAAAAGATTTCATGCAATAATAGTTACATTATGCATACTGCATCCGATGCAAAATATAAACTTTAGGAGTACATTTTTACAGAGTAAACACTGTATACAACCTTGATCTGGTATTACGTCAGAAATATTCATCAGCATAGTTAGAATAACTATTTATTTAATTTACATGATGTAAAATTGCTTTTTTTAAATTAAATTTACTCAATTTTTGTTTACATTTTTGCAAGGGCAAAGGTTCAGTTGTTCCTTGTACATCTCCCAGATGTAAGATTTTATGGAGGTTATTTAAAAAAACTGTTGAAAATAATTTAAAATTAACAATACTTTTATAAAACAATTTATTAATGTGTGCTAAAAAATTATGCTAAGGTCTCGTAAACTAAACAACAGTGCTCACGACCAAATAAAACTAACAATGAAATGAAATACTTTTGTCATGGATTTTCAAACTTTGCCGTTTATATATATATGAAGGCGACGTCGTTAAAATCAAGATGATGTCTGGTTATACATCCTTGGCCCGCTACTTTCAAATATTGTTGTTGAAAAAATCCTAACATACGTCTCGTAAACTAAACAACAGTGCTCACGACCAAAATAAACTAACAACGAGAGAAAATACTTTTGTTATGGATTTTTAAACATTGGCGTTGATTGCAACACCGTAAAAATCAAGATGTAGGCTTGTTACACATCTTTTGCCCTCTACTTTCAAATATTGTGGTTAAAAAATTCCATACTTTACCTCTCGTAAACTAAACAACAGTGCTCACGACCAAAAAAACTAACAACGAAAAAAAAAACTTTTGTTATAAATTTTCGAACAAAATCGTTTATCTACTGATAGCAACGTCGTAAGAATCAAGGTGTAGGCTGATTACACATTTTAGTCCTTTACTTTCAAATATTTTTGTTAAAAAATTCTTAACTTTATGTCTTCGAAACTAAAAAACAGTGCTCACGACCAAATAATCTAAAACCAAAGAAAATACTTTTGTTATAATTTTCGAACAAAACTGTTTATCTCATAATATCAACGTCGTAAGAATCAATATGTAAGCTTGGTATAAAAAATTTGCCCTCTACTTCAAATATTGTGGTTAAAAAATTCCTTACTTTACCTCTCGTAAACTAAAAAAAATGCTCACGACCAAAAAAACTTATAACGAAAAAAATACTTTTGTCATGAATTTTCATTTATTGTTTTATATCGTCCGATAGCAATGTCGTAAGAATCAATGTGTAGACTTGGTATAAATCTTTTGCCCTCAACTTTCAAATATTTTTGTTAAAAAATTCTTAACTTTATGTCTTCTAAACTAAAAAACAGTGCTCACGACGAAAAAATCTAACAACGAAAGAAAATAATTTTGTTATGGATTTTCAAACTTTGCCGTTTATATATATGAAAGCGACGTTATTAGAATAAAGGTGATAGCTGGTTGCGCTCTACTTTCAAACATTTTTGTTAAAAAATTTTCAACCTAATGTCTCGTAAACTAAAAAACAATGCTAACGACTAAAAAATCTAAGAATGAAAAGAATACTTTTGTCATTTATTGTTTTGTATCTTCCGATAGCAATGTCGTGGGAATCAATGTGTAGGCTTGGTATAAATCTTTTGCCCTCTACTTCAAATATTGTTTCTAAAAAATTTGCCTTCTACTTTCAAAATTGTTTCTAAAAAATTTCTAACTTTACGTCTCGTAAAAAAACAACCAATAACGAAAGAAAATACTTTTGTTATAGATTTTCAAACTTTGCCGCTTTTTTCGCGATAGCAATGTCGTAAGAATCGAGGTGTAGGCTTGGTATAAATTTTTTGCCCTCTACTTTGTTGTTAAAAAATTCCTAACTCTATGGCTCGTAAACTAAATAACAGTGCTCACGGTCAAAAAACCAACATCGAAAAAAATACTTTTGTCATGGATTTTTATTTATTGTTTTATATCGTCCGATAACAATGTCGTAAGAATCAATGTGTAGACTTGGTATAAATCTTTTGCCCTCTACTTTCAAATATTGTTGTCAAAAAATTTCCTAACTTTACTTGTTTTTAAGATAGTAGTGGAAGACCGTTTTACCCAGTATATATACTCTATATATATACATATAACCATTTTCATTTTCAAGTGTCTATATCCACTGCCCTGCGCATGCCCGTGCCTTTGCCGGCTGTGCGCCCGAATTGACGGCGGCGGCGCAGGGCGGGCGCGAGAGCGCTCCTGTGTACGATTATTGATTTTACTCGAGACGTTCCTCGTTCGTTACTACTACGACAACAATGTGCGCGATCGCTCTCCTCCACTACCACTAAACAACCCCTACTACGGGGTAGCAAAATATTAGACAGGGAGATAGTAGACACAAAACTTGAATAAATGATCGATATGCCCATAAAATAAAAGTTATGATAGACAAAAAAAATATGAAGATACATAATATTTCAAATTTGGTTATATTAGGTTGTCAAATATCTCCCTTCCGCTTTTTTGCTCTTGGTTTATGATACAAAAAGGCGGAAGGGAGATATTTGACAACCTATTATAATATTAATAAACTCAGGCACTAGTATTACATGGCATGGTGCCTTAAAGCAAATTGCTGGAACTTCCCGTACCGTAATGAAATATTCGCGAAATAAAAATAATCAATGGTTGTTTTGAATGATGTCAAATAGATTATTTATTATAATTCATACTGTAAATTTAAAAGTGCTTTTTAAATTAGAGGAGGAGCGTGTTCTACAAACAACTTGTGTGAAGAAATTTGCTCTTTTTTTATTTGTTTTTTTTTTTTGGTAATTTAGAAAATAAATTTAAATTTTGAAATTAAATTTTGAGTTATTTTAGAATTTTGAGTTATTTTAGAATTTTGAAATTTGGAAATTTTGAAAATATTCGATATTTTTTGTAAGAAATCGATTTATTTTAATCTTAATATATTTTGAAATTTTTCAAAATTTAGTTTATTTTCAAAATGATGAAAAATTTCCAAAATATGAATTTTTTGAAACTTTAAATTTTTGTTAAAAATTCTTTTTTTTTGAAAATTATCAAAATTACGAAATTTTCTGTAAAAGCATTGTATCATGTGAAAGGTTTTTTTGAATTAATCTAATCAGATAATCCGTTTCCTCAAAAAATGCATAACTGTTTTTGCACCCTTTGCACTCCATACCTCCGAAACGGCAAGAGGTGCCTTTTGCAAAAACGCCTCTAGATCGAGTACGAACCGAATGTTTTTTGAATCATTCAAATCGGTTATTATGGAATAACCGGGACATTTGTTTGAAACATATATATAAATTATAAGATTAGAAATCTTGGTACGGAACCCCAAAAAATTGATACAAAATGTGTACACAATATTAAAATCTCTATAAAATATATAGAATAATTTCATGTGCATATGTCGAATGAACGTTTTTGATCACCCAAGGGCACTTTTTTAACTTATTTTTGTTTAGAGTCCACAACCGCTGAACCTGCCTTTCTAAAAATTTGAACAGTTAGTCAATATAAATAAAATGTTTTTTGAATTATTCAAATCGGATGCTCCGTTCTCTCAAAAACTCGATTTCTATTATTTGCACCGTAACTCCGTAATGGCTGGACCTGTCTTTGCCAAAAACTAATCAGCACGACTCCCTATCAATAGAAATCGAATGTTTTCTTAAACCATTCAAATCGTGAACAACGTGGACAAAAATTGTATCCACACTCACATACACATAGATTTTTTCTGAGATATGCCAAAATGTTCAGAAACCTCTGAAACGTAAAGATATGCAAAAATTTTCATTTTCGATTTTTGGACGATTACTATAACTTACCCTATGGGAAGTTAAAAATAATTATATTTAAAAAAAGCGAGTTAAAAAAATAAAATTAAAAATAAAATACCATTTGTATAATGATATTAAAACCTATCAAATCTACTTCTATGTGTTTTAATGTAAAACTTCTTTAAGGAGCAGCAAAAATGCAACGGAAGTGCGTTACGACACGCTTCAATGTGATTCTAAACGAGTTCATGTGATTAGTCGAGATCGACTTATCACGTGTATATAGATATCTACTACCTATCAACTGTTATTATTATTGTAAATATGGTTTTAGTGATTATTTTTACCATGATTAAAAATTTATTTATAAGTAACTTATTAATTTTTATTTATTTATAAACATTTTATTAGTTAGTATTAAATATAGGTTTATGTATTTATATTTTAGGATAGTTATACATGATTATATAAATTGTATAGAAATATTAGGTTGTCAAATATCTCCCTTCCGCTTTTTTGCTCTTGGCTTATAATACAAAAAGGCGGAAGGGAGATATTTGACAACCTTATATGTATGTATAAACTATAATATGAATGAAATAAATAAATCTTTAAAAACAAAAACAAAACCTATTAACTATCAACACGAAACCTTTTACACCCAATTGCCATATTTTTCCATTTCTATCAATTTTTTTCCACAGCTCTCCGTCTATTATCCGATCTAGGCTCGTGTGCCCCGTGACGTCACTTACTCGGCAGTGCCGGCGGTTCGTCAAGAGTGAGGCCGAGGGAGGTTGTCGCACTTTTGTTGTACTTTTATACTTTTATACTATCGTCTGGCGGTGCTTTCTCTATTTTGTGCCTAACACCGCCATTACGGAAACCAGAGACAGTTTTGAAATTGGAAAATCGGAAAAAAATACTAGTTTTTACTCAAACGTCTACCAATTGTTAAGGAAGTAGAAGAGCCTTAATTCAACTTTCATAATTGAGTTGACCAAAAAAATTTAAATTTAAATGTTTGCAAGTGACATTTTGCCTTAAGGCAAGTTGCTTAAAATTTTCCTTTCAACTTTCAATAATATTTGTAATAGAGGGTAGAACGGGGCACAAAATACCAGTCAACCCCCAGACATTTCCATATATTTTTTAACTTCCCGTAGGGTAAGTTATAGTAATCGCAAAAAAATCGAAAATGAAAATTTTTGCATTTCTCGACGTTTCAAAACCTTCTGAACATTTTGGCATACCTTAGAAAAAATGGATGTATGTGTGTGTGTGGTGTGTGTGTGTGTATGTATGTATGTATGTATGTATGTATGTATGTATGTACGTGTGTGTATGTATGTGCGGATACAAATTTTCGTCGACGATTTCGGGAACACGGATCAACCGATTTAAATAATTCAAAAAACATTCATACGGGGCAAAAAGTGCCGAAAACGTTAACTCAGTTTTTAAGAGAACGGAGCGTCCGATTTGAATAATTCGAAAAACATCGATAAAATTTTCACGATGGTAGGTCTAGCGGTTTCGGAGATATGGGGGAAAAAGTAAAAAAATGAGCCATTTGGCGGTCAAAAATGATCATTAGACATATGTACATCAAATTATTAGATATTTTATAGAGATTTTAACTATAAGTATACATTTTGTTAACATTCCTATGGGTTCCGTACCAATGATTATGCGTTAGACAGCGACGCGGCGCTTACGCGCTTTATATTTTGTCCCTATGAAGTTAAAGCAGTACGATTGCTTTGAAAAGAAAGTTCAGATCTTCCACAATATATCAAAATAAAGAAAAAAAATTTTTTTACAAAAACAAAAATAAAAAAAATTTTTCTTATTTTTTCAAAGTAAATTTTTTTCAAAAATGTTAATCGTTTTTAAAAAAATAATAATTTTTGGTACGGAAAGTTCCAGCAATTTGCCTTAAGGCACGATGCCTTAATTGCCTTAAGACAGAATTCCACTTACAGCTAGTTTTTTAATATATCCTGTCTTAGTCAAAAATTTCAATTTCAAGAGTAAGTGGTCACTGTTTTGTAATATGTATAATATATAGAATATACTCGTTAATATACAAAATTCTCCATGAC